GAGCTGCTGGCACCCAAACCCCATGTCCCAGCATCCCAGCAACGCTCCCGGCAGCATGCCCTGCACCCCAGCATTGCGGGGGGGCAGTCACTTTGCTCTCCAGAACCTAAACAGTAAGAAAAATACGGGGATAGTCTCAGGAGCGCGGAGAGGGTTAATGCTGGGAGCGGAGTGAGGAGCACAGCTGCTGGGTTTGGGTGCCAGGGCCCGGCTGGCACTAGGACGGGAGCCAGCCTGCGGGTGCTGCTGGGGCTGAGCCCGTCTCTTCTCTTTCCAGGTCAAACTCCAGAAATCCTTGGAGCATCTTTCAAAAGAAGTGGAGGACATTAGGAAGCGTGAGTCAGCAGAAAGGATGAAGACCCAGGAGTGCAAGGCAGGTGCCTGGCTTAATTCTTAAAGTGTAAAAAATGAAAAAAGAAAGAAATGCTTTGTGAAGGGCAGTTCCCCCGAAACCATGGGGTTAAACAAACGGACAGTGGCTATTTTGTATTTGCCCTTTGTTTTACAATGTCTGCATGAGTTAGAAGCCAGGCATGAGCCACACAGTGAGCTTTGCTCCACAACAATAGGAACTGTTTTCATTAAGAAAAAGAAAAGCTGAATTAATTACTGCACCTCTGCCCAACTCCAAACCAGCTCAGGGAGAGCAGACACCAGCAAAACAGCTGCATTTCACATACCTCCAGAAGCAGGGAAGTAAAAGCAACTGCAGAAAAGGAAGCAAAACCACTGGACTGAGTTATCTAGCTCTGAGCTGGAGTTGATGATTAATCAGCTTTGGCAGAGAAAACAGGTTTCTCTAGTTTTCTGCTCAGCTCCACTGCTTTACCACAGCCTGGCCAAGCCCTGCAGTGTCCCCCTTGAGCCTGAGATGGGGCCGGGGATGGAGGTGGTGGATGAGCCATATCACTGTCCCCTGCCCACATAAACCAGGGTGTCCCTTGTGAGCAGAGGCAGGGAAGTGGCTGTGTCTATCCTGACTTATCAAACGTCTGTGACTCAGGTCCAAGAAATCCTGTGCTTGGATGGAAAAATAAATGCAGTTCAGTTTCCTTTCACTTATCTTCTGCATTCTGAGATTTCATGACTCTAGCTATCTGCCACATGTTTTCCTGGTGCTTTGGGTTTTGAGCCAATTTATAGGGCTGAGAAGAAAAACCCTAACGTACCAGCAAACCGTGCTTGTTGCTGGCTGCTCACCCTGGGCTGTAGTGAGACACCCTGGCTCCCCCTTTCCATCCCTCCCCCGCCCCTGGGCCTT